AGGGGAACTGAGCCGTGCGCCCCTCGCTCAGCCCACGGCAGAGCTGCGCGTTTTGGAACCCGGTCGGGGACGGGCCCAGGCAAGGCTCCCCCAGCCCTACCTGCACTTGAAGCGTTTCTCGGCCCCGGCCAACTCAGCCAGCTTGCGCCAGCCCCGGCCGGCGTTATCCAGTAGCTCACACAGCCGGGCCACCACCTCCTCACCCAGCGAGCCGATGGGCATGCTCCAGTCCCCCATCCCTCCTGGGGTGCCGAGGGGATGAGCTGTCAGTGGCTGACAGGAACCCCTGCCCCACCGGACCCCTCTGGGCACAGGGTGACTTAGAGGGGAGAACAATGAGATCCCTGGTGTCAGGCACTTCCTGGCAGGAGCCTGAGGAGGTGCTGGGACCTGGCTGGGCAGCACTGCTGGATCCGGCCACCGGCAGCCAGCCAGGAATGACACAGACTCCCACTCTGGGAACTGGGTGGCACGGGGGTCCCTGTTCACCCTCCCCCCGCAGCCTTGGGCAGGGAGCCAGGGTACTTTAGCCCAGCCCCAAGAAAGGGACCTTCATGAAAGGGGGATCCACGGAACTAGGAGGGGATGGCCCTTGTCACCTTCCCTGTCCTGTCAGGTGATACAGATAATGGGGCCCCAATACCCCTCTCTTTCTGGCAGAGGCCCCAGTGGGGCAGCAGCAGCCCCCTTGCTGTCACCAAGCCTCTTCATGGTGGCTCAGCACAGGGTACATGGGGGTCTTGGGACTGGGACCCAGCTCAGCTTGCCCTGAATCCTGGGAAAGGTTTCAGTGTGACATTAACCACCTGGACAGGGGGAGCTCCCTCTTCCCCCCCTCAGGTCCCTTCCCAACAACCCACCCCAAAAGGGCTCTTGTCTCCAGGACTGACCTGTCCAGAGCAGCTGGGTGATACTCACACAAGCAGGGGGCTCCAAGACAGAAGACAAGGACCCAGGTGCTCTGTCTTCTCACCTGCTGCTGGATTTGGGATCTGGACACACTGGGGGTGGCAAGGAGAGGGTGACCTGCAGGCCCAGCAGGGAGGGGCACTCACCACAGGGTATGGCCAAGCCCCGTCAGGTCCAAGGCTGTGCACTGAGCCCCACACAGAGGAAATGAGGGTTCAGCCCAAAATCTCCCCTAGGCCCCCGTGCTGCAGCACAGCACTTCTGCTTCTTTCCCTCTTCCTTCCTGTTGTGAAGCACGTGGGTGCAGAGCTGCCACCCCTCAACTCCCCCCGCCCACAGCCCCAGGGGAGCTGGGCACAGCCAGGCCCGGCCCTGTCACAAGGGCCACTGCCAAGTTAGGCAGAGGCTCCCACTGTCCCTTCCTCACTGCAGGAACCCACAGGCACCTCTTTTCCCCAGAGCCCAACTTGAGCCCAGAAGGAGCTGCAAGACAGTGAGTCCAGAGTTGAGGTGAACTGAGGCGACAGAGGCACCTCTCAGCCAGGTGTGCCCAACACACAGGCAGAACTGAGGCCAGGGGATGCTTCTGGGATTTGCCAGGCTGAAGCTGCCCAAGGAGAAGCAGAGGTACGGCAGTAGTGGGGAAGAACCTGCCTTTACCATCCAGCTCAGCCAAACCCTGGCATCCCAGCACCACTACTGCTGCTGCATGAAAGGAGAGCATGCTGTTGGGGTGGCACTGCAAAGGGCCACCATGAACCCTCCCTCACCTTGCCTGCTGCCCCACAGCACTGCCAAAGCCTGGCCCCCATCACTCCAGCCTTGGAGAGCACAGGCTGCTCAGGCCCTGAGATCCACTGGCCAGGGACACTGTGACACAGGTGGGTCATTCCCCACCCCACATACCATGGAGCCCTCAGCTGAAGCCCCTGTGGCACAGCCAGTGATGGAGCAGGGAGCAGGAGCCATGTGCAGTGTGGGCTCTCTCTACAGCCCAAAACCCAAGCTTCTGTCTTAACAAACACGCTGAGACCCTGTGGCCTGTATTGCCTCAGCCCTCGGCATGGAGGGACCCTGCACCAAGCTTGCAAAGAGTCTGGGTTTGTCACAGCCTTTATAACAGATTTTATAACAGCTTCACCAGAGGTTTATTTCTTATTTACAGCAAGGAGAAGAGACCAAAAGCCAGGGCAGGTCCCAGTGTCACCTGTGCTGGCACATGGGGAAGCCCCAAGCTCAGCAGCACCTACAGCTTCTTGCCCTTCTTCAACCTGTTGCGCTGCCATGTGTTGTATTTCCGCAAGCGCCTCCAATACTCGAGCGTGTCAGGGTCCAACTCCTCCAGCTTCTTAGGGGGCCCAAGGTGGATCTTGAAGAGCCTGGGGGTGAATAGAGAGGATGTGAGGCTGCGGGAAGGAGGACAAAGGGACAAGTACAAGATGGAGCAATGGACATGAGTGACCAGAATATGGAGATCCCTCACCCTACATCCACAGTGCACCCACTCCTGACCCTGGGGAGGGTGTCTGGGCTGCAGAGGGGCAGTTTGCCTCCTCACAGAACACTTCCCTGTTCCTCTTACACAGCTCTGTGCCCCTGGGCTGGCACCTCTTTTGGGACACAGAGGAGAGTGGGGCAGCACGCACCAGTCGGGGTACTCAGAGTCGGGCTTCAGGGCCACCTCCGGACCCTCCTTGAAGTAGTTGACTCCCATGGCATGGGTGGCGAGCAGGGTGGGGTCCGTGCACACCTCCGGCCCCTTCAACGCCTCCTTCGGCACACCCTTGCCTTTGGACTTGGCAGCTGTGAGGAGAAGGGCAGGGTGAGGGCAGAGGATGTGCCTGGGCACAAGGACGCAGACAGGGAAAGGGATGGGGATTCGAGGGAAAGG